GAGGGGGACGGGTGCAGCATTCATGGATGGACGTAGAATTTTTTGTGTTTTATACTCCGTATGCGATGGAAGTACTTGTTGTCAAGAGATAGGACGAACTACGAAGCACGTGGACTCCAACGAGAAGAAGGCCAAAAAAGAGGGATGAGTGAAAAAGGAAGTCAGAAATTTGGGGTCCGCTTCGCTTTCTTAGCGGATAGGGATTGATTACTACCGCTGAGTGCTGATTAGCAACTGCAGCCCGTTGGATAGGCATTGCATAATAAATGATGATAATTACTAATACAATATAGTCAGCAGTCACGGATGCACTACTAATTACGTAGTAATCTAATTATGATCCATTCATATTCTACCAATAATAAATAAATAAATTATACATTTTTCGCTGCCCCCACCCCCCGACCTAGAAAATTCCAGAGTGACTGCTGCTGCTTACTAGTTGCTCCAGCGGACAGATAGTTAGAAGCCCACCATCCCCAATTGAAAAAAAGAAGCAGGACATGGATTTGAATACCACCACCACCACCACTTCCATCTCCGGCTGCCCTGCCCAGCCCATGGATTTAGCCGTAGCTGCTACTGCTACACCATGGCACGTTTCCTGAATATATACTCCTACTGATATAAAATCCCAGGCAGGCTTTGGAAGTTGACTGAGATTTATACATTGTAATTTTCTTTTATATTTATTAGTATTAGCAGTCCCCCAATCCACACCCCAATATAGTACTAGTAGTAGTAGTTCGGTGGAGCCGCAGACGGAATTTCCCAGAACGGTCGCAATTCTCAATTGGAATTAAGCTGCTTCTACTTCCTACTTCTACATCCAACTCCACCTCATAATCCACACGACTCCTGTCCTCGGATCTTTGGCTAATTATATAATATTCTACTCTAGTTGTTTCGCAATTCGGTACACAAAACAACTGCTGATACTAGTATGATACTGGTGGCCATAGTGGCGGAGCTGTTGGAGGAGTACACGGTGTTGGTGGCTAGGGTGCTGGAGCATATGTTCAACCAGGCTCCCCTCCCCTTCCATCCGCGGGTTCGTTTTCTCATTCTCCGTAATCTTCCCTTTGCTTCTTCTTCTCCTTCTCTTCCTCCGCCTCCGCCTCCCCCTCCTCCTCGTGCTTCTCGCGACATCACATGCCCTCTTCCTCAGTCCTGATCCATGCACACTTTTCGTACTAGAATCCATCCGTCAACTAATAAGATCCTGCAAGCCCAATGTTAGCCCCCGGCCTCCCTCTTATTCTGTTTTAGCAATTTTCAAATATTTTTCTTTCTTTTTCGTTTTCCTTTTCTCTTTTATGTATATTACATATATCTAGCTGCTAGCCTCCTAGAATTTGATTACTAGTACTACTATTACAGAGATCTGTATATGAAATTGTGGTTTTTTTTTTCCTTTTTGTACATGTAAGAATGCATGTTCCCCCTGAATAAAAAAAAAATGCATGTTATTAAGTGTTAAATTCTGCCAAAATGATACACCATAGTAAATATTCTTCTTCTTCATTTGCTTCTTCAGGAGAAAAAAAAAACTAAAAACAAAAACAGATCCCTGGCGGCGAATAATGCTGGATCAAAGAGTTGATAAAAAATTTCTGGAATGTCGTACAAACCAATCCCTAGCATCCCCTGCTCTCTGTATTAAGCAAGTAGCACGTAATTGTCCTGGTTTGTCAACCTTAGTCGCACGTGGTTGTCCCGGTTTGTAGCTCCACGGATTCCGTTGCAGGAGGCCCGCGTAACTTTCGATCCAGAGGTCTAAGTCCGGTCAAACCATAGATCAAAAATAGGGTCGGACTGGATTCAACTTATCACTAAATACTTTGATAAAATTGAAATTTGAAAATTTAAAATTTAAAATTTAAATTTGTTAAGTAATTTAATTGTTAAAATATTAAATTTAATATATTTGAGCATAACTTTACAAAATTTTGAGATTAATGGTCCAAGTTGGCCCGAGCCAAGCTCGCCCAATCTGGGCCTTCTATCGCACTTTGCTGTTGCCGGTGAAACTGCAAAGACGCTGGATGCCGGATAGATGGTCATGTCCTGAATTGTTTTTCGATTGTTAACAAAAACCAATGGCTCTATTTGGATTATCATTTGTTTTTACAAACTATTTTTATGTGTAGAATCTACAATAATAAATTTTAAATATAATTCAAAAACACACATCTCAAGTATAACTTACAAAAAATACTAAAAAAATGCAAACATAGGGGAGCGGGTGGTGGGGAAGGGAGAGGAGGGTGGAGGAGGAGGAACAAGGGGAGGAGAGAAAGAAGAAGAGGGAGGAGGAAAGAGGAGGGTGACAGTGGAGGTGGAGGAGGGAGGAGAGAAGGGGTGATGGGTGGTGAATTTTTTTTAATTTTTTTAAAAATACTTCAATAAGATTTTACATTTCAAAAACACCTCAACAAATAACTATAATAAAAGTTTTTCATATATAATATTATAGTATAGTATCTCCAAAACACCTTTTTAAGTTTGGATATGGTTTAAGTTGAGATCATTAGTTCAACTCTCATATCCTCCCTATTCGGGGTGGATCTGATCCAAGTAGCTAGACTCGAGATCGGGAGCTACTCGATTAGCAGTTTGGCTCGAGCTTGCTCTGATCGAGCTCGAGGAGCAATAGAAATAGCGAGTCAAGCTCAAGTCTAGTTATGAGATACTCAAGAACTCGACGAACTTTATCGAGTATCTCATAAAAAAATAAAAAAAAATATATATATAATATAGCTCTATCGAGTATCTCATAATAAAATAAAAAAAATTATATATAATATATAGAAAATTACTAATACAGATAAGCAACTTATTAAATTTACAATGAACCATTCTAACACCTTTATTTATTTGTTTGGACAAAGCAGGGATTTCATAAAATCATACTTCTTATTTCTTGTTTTTTAGAGAACTTAATTTGAAAACATTAAGAAGGAAAAGATCTAATTTAACAAAGGTTTTCAAGCTCATTTTTTGAGATTAAATCGAGTAATCGAGCTCAGATCTTATACGAGTACGAGCTCGAATTTGAGCTCGAGGTTTTTTCAACTACATCGAGTCGAGTTCGAGTTTGGAGTCAGGGGTTTATTCGAGCTCGAGTAGTTCCCATAACCTTCGAGCTCCAACTCAAGTATGGTACTACTCGAGTTTGGCTTGACTCGATAGCATTTCTACTTCCTATCTCTCATTTTGAAGTTTGGATTAAAAAAAAAAAAGAGCATTTCCAAAATATTAAATTGGTGAAAAGGTCCATAAGTTTTCTGGGTTCCTTTTTTTTTTTTTTTTTTTGGTTTGTCGTTTTATTGTGTTGGTCGATAGAGAACTGAATTGAAGAAAGAGCGTATGGCTATTGGAAAAGGAAAAAGATTTGATTCATATTCAAACAAAGTGAAATAAGAAATCAGAAAACACGGAATTGAACTTTTGGTGATTAATCTACATGCGGAATGTAGATATTAGAGCCGAAATAGGAAACAAAGACAAAATGAAGACGTGAAATGATACCTCATCCCCATCCACAATGGGGTGCAATAGCTCCCATACTGAAAGTGTAACGGTCATGATTTGATAATTTTAGAAGCTTTAAATTTTACGGGACATGTATTGTGTGAATTATTAAAATAAATATATAATTTGATTGTGGATCCACGCTATTATACTCTACAGAGTGTAATGTATGGCAGAGATGGTGTAATGGAAGAGGGGATAACAAAGTGATGTTGTGACAATCCCGGATAATCAAAGATAGGAACAGTCTACAAAGCAGCAAGTACTTTTGCGTCACCAAATGACGAACCAGAACCTAATTCTCTTTGCTTCAATAATATAACTTTATTAAGACTAGGAACAAGTCTTGTTATCCACAGTTCTTCGGCAGACCGGATGTTCTTTTATCGTTCGTTGCCCACAGACCCGAACAATTGTTTGTATTTAATATAACTCGTTCGTGTCATGTGATGATACTCAGAGTCAGATTTGGAGCGAGTATATAGAACAATAATAATGGTAGGCATGAACCAAAAGCATCAGATCCTCTTAGCTCGTACAACGTACCACATCGATCGCAATTATCTGTCAAACCTAATATACTTTATACATAAGAAGAAGAATCCCATGTATGTCCAGATGTTTACACACTCAACCCTCCTAGTACGTAGTTAATGTCATACATTACATAACAAAAAAGACAGAGAGAAGGAAAGAAAGCGATCATAAATCGGCCGGGGAAAGACCAGTACACGGGCGATGAAGCGAGTACTGTTAAGGAATTTATTCGAATTCTCTGTTATTTCGTAAAGGGATCAACTATATGTATATATATACATACATCCGAGGCATGGCTCGGTTTACTTGTGCAAGATATTGAAGCAAAACAGAAAAAATACAAAGAAAAGAAGAGGAGATTTTGAAGAAATATTTGATTCCTTCGCATCAAAGCCCGTCTGTTACTTCCTTAAGCCCATCCATCTCCCACCAGGCTTGATATTCTTTTTCCAATGTCAGCAGCCATATTAGCTTTAGCTAACCCCACACAATTCCAGGCATTAAAAAAATAAAATAAAAAATTCCAGGTTTTGGATTCCACTCCCCCTGCTTTTTAGAACTGGCTTCGGTATTTAGAACAAAAGAATAAACCTGTCGATTCGATTGGAAGTATTCTGCATGCACTGAGTATGTACACAACGCTCACGTGCCTATTCATTCTCAAATATGCTTCGTAGGTCTGGCGACTAATAATCTGTTAATTAAACACTCACCATTCCCGTGGAGGCAAGAAACTGGTAACAAAAGGGAAAGTGGTACTGTCATATCATGATCAGCTTGATTACTTAGCTTTGTTGAATTGGAGAAGGGAATATGTTACCAAGAGGAAGAAGAAAAAAAAAAAAAAACTACTCCGTAAGAGAATATTAGGACTGAAGGAAGAGGCGCCTTAGGATTGGAGGAATATTTTTAATAGAGCATTTGCCAGCCTCATCAATGATGCCTTCTACTACTTATGGGTTCTTCCCTTTCCCATGCGTCTCTCCTTTCTTCTTTCCTAATTAATGTAACTCTACATAACGTTACTTACATAGTAGGTGTAGTATATATATCTAGAGAAGGAACCTGTTGGCAATGGTTAACCTACCGGAAAGGCTATTTGGCTTTGTCGTCTCAGCTCTTGCCTACTGTTTCTTTCAATATCATCGTCATCAAGACTCCAACCACTATCGCCCCAAAAGCTCCAACAACGACAATATCAGCTACAAAATGCCCAAGACCAAGGCTCGACCGCTTTCTTTGCAGGTTTCACTTCCATCCATCCATCCATCCTTCATGTTTTACATATACTCCATCTTATCCACATGCATACATACATACGTACTCAGGTTTATCCTTTAGAACCGGTTGTTGTTCGGAAATAAACTTTGTATCAAACTTCTATTATATATTTAGTTATTGTTATTATTATTTGGGACAATTTCAACCAACTCAACAGAAGAGATAAAAATAAAATAAAAACTCAATAGAAGAGGATGAGGGTCAGTATCCCTGACTCCGTATACCTAGTTCATCTTTGTTTGCTACTGGTGGTCGCTTGTATATTAAGGACTACATTAGATTTGTAACTAATACAGCTAAACTGAAATAAGTATGTCATGGCCCCAAATCTGACTTTTTCAGAGATTGAAATTTTACATCTTTTGTTGTCGTTTATTTATTTATGGAAGAAGAGAAAACGACTCTGTTGTTGTGGCGAGCAGATACCTCCCATGCATGCCCTCTTCAAAAAGACGAAAAAAGGGTAACAAAACCTAGGAAATACCAGCCCGTGTCGCTCAAAATCTGACATACAAACTTGGTGAAATCATCCTTGGTGAAATCTCCTTAATTATTATTGGCTGCTTCAGTTAATGAACAAAGCTAGCTTGCAAAAAAGAACGAAGGAAAGAGAAAAAAAAAAAGGGAAGAAAGAAGAAGAAGAAAGGTAGTCAGTCGTCCTACAAAAGCAGATGGGATCCCAGTTCCACATATTTTGGAAGGAAAATAAAACTTGAGTTAAACAACTGAAACCTAAAGGCCCTAAACCAAGTAGACAGAGACACAGGTTTAATTGACGAAAACGCTTTAGTAAGTAACCGCGATCAAAAGGAACAAATTAAGGTGTATATACTTTTGTGATCAAAAGAAAGAGCCCTGCATATATAGTTAATGCTTTTGTGGAAAGGGGAATCTGCGAAGCGCGTATCATTTAATCTGGGGAATATTAAAGAACCCGTACTAGTGTTGGTTGGATGAGTTTGCAGACAGTGGAGCTGAAAGTGAGGATGTGCTGCAGTGGCTGCGAGAGAGTTGTCAAGGACGCCATCCACAAACTCAGAGGTATAATTAGTTTCATTAATTTTAACAAACTCAGAGGTAGTTCATGAGTCACTGATTTAATTTTATTTTAACCACAGGAGTATTATACTAGCTACAATATACAAGCATCGAATTTAATTTCCACATATACTACTAATTCTTAGTATAGACGCACACAGTTGACTAATTAAGTGAGTAATCAATCTCTGGTCAGACACTACTACGTGCATGATCCCTCCCTCAAGTTCAACAACAGAAGAAATAGCAGTAGTAGCTAGGTAATCGGCTTTTTTTTTTTTTTGAGGTTGTGTACGTATGTGTATGTACAGGGGTGGATTCAGTCGACGTAGAGCTGGAGATGGATAAGGTGACAGTAATTGGGTACGTGGATCGAAACAAGGTGCTGACGGCGGTGAGAAGGGCGGGAAAGAGGGCAGAGTTTTGGCCCTATCCAAATCCCCCGCTCTACTTCACTTCCACCACCAACTACTTCAAGGACACCACCAGCGATTTCAAAGAGAGCTACAACTACTGGAGGCACGGCTACAATGCTGCCGACAGGCACGGCAGTCTTCCGGTCACTCAACGGGGAGACGACAAGGTCAGCAACATGTTTAACGACGATAATGTAAATGCCTGCTGTCTCATGTAATCTCTTATGTTGCCGCCAAAAATAAGAAATAAAAAATCAGGGAATGTGCGTTTTTTTTCCCCATCCCATCTGAAGCTAGTGCTAGTGAAGGCCCATTCAATTCTCGTTATAAGATAAGTTTAGTGCGGGATTGTGCGTCTCTCGTCCAGAGAATAGTAGTACTGCCTTTTATGAGGCCGTCTGTTGCCTTGCAACGTTGTATTTAGATGCCCCCAGGTAACAAACACAGTCAAGATAAATGGGCCGGGCCACTACCTTTAGGCGACCAGGCCGGCCTCACAGTAAGCTAGGAGGGTTGTCTCGATCCATAGCTAAACAACAATTGGCGACGTATTTGTTTTCTTTCAAATCAAATCGAGAATCGAAGAGAGTAGCAGCACATATTCATTGTTGCCTGGTCTCCCTCAAAAGTTTTGAATCGCAGAATGCTCAAAATCAAGTTGAGGTGCAGTCAGATTTATTAATTTATGTATGCTTCATCCAATCCAAAGGACACAAATTGGAAATTATATATCACCCTACCTACATCTACATGAGATCAATTACTATATGTTATGGTGATGGCTTAAAAAGATGCAAATACCCGTACAGTTGGCAGCCCATGATAGATTCAGGCATTCAATTACTACTACAGACACAAATTATCTGGGCAAGTCTTAAGCCGTGGGGACCCTTCCCGAAATGACTTTTTATTACGGCAATGAATTAAACCGGTCCCCCCATACCCATTCATTAGTATTATTCATTCATATAAATAAATGACGCAGCTAATTATTATTAATTCACGGTCCCATTGGTCGTCAATCATCATACATAAGGAATGAAATTTGCACTATTTTATTACGTTAATTACGTCGTCAATCATCTCCATTTGATCAATTTTTATTTACTTATATCATCAACCTAAGATTAAAGAAAATAAAATATAAGAGAAGAAAACGAATTTATATATTTATACGCACGTTCTTCACACCTCACCTCAAGTTTCCAATTTCCACTTACCTCCCTTATTTTGAACTAACTAATTGATGAGTAGTACATTTGCAAGGTGTACGTACGACGTAGTCTTAAATCCATGAAGATTACTCGAATGAATGAGTTAACTTGAGATTACTCGAATGAATGAACGAACTTTTGTGTATCCATTTGTTTCGTAGCTGAATAATTCTGCGGCCCGTGTCTACTCAAAACTCAAAAGCCAAGGAGGAAAATGTGCTGAACTATTTAATCACTCATCGTTGAAAAGGCTACACTGCTATAGCTAGCTTAACCAAAACTTCATCCTAGCTATATACTTGATTCAGATGCACGTACGTGTTAAAAAAAGGGAAAAAAAAAATCATTCTTCATTACAAATTATGAATATGATAATAATGATATTGAAGCCAAAAGGTCAACAAAAAAAAAAAGAAAGAGCAGATACACAAAAGAGAGAGATTGGAAGAAATAATTAATAATGAGAAAGAGATTGGAGGAAGCTGAAGCAGAGAGGATGATGATGATGGTAGGGGTAGGTGAAGACAAAAGTAGGGCTAAGAAGGAGACGAAAAAGGAACGGGTGAGAGGAGTGGTGACGGTTAAGGATGGATGAGTAATGATCAGATCAGCGGGTGGCTGGCAACAGGAGAAAGTGCATGGAGGGTTCAGTTTGGGATACCTTAGCACAATCAATCATCAGGGGGTACTCGGCAATGAATGAGGGAGAGAAAGCTGTATCCTTTCGGACAGTGGGGAAAGGCATGGAGCGGGCGTGCATGTTGCCATGTTTGCTTTGCCAGACCCATCCATCCAGGTGGGGGTACCTGGATCGTTTTCGTTCTGGACGGGATGAGATGGGCCTGAAAGAAAAAGTTCTGCAGGTCTGTACAATTCATGAATCTTCCTCCTGGACACTTTTTCTTTTTTTCGCTTAAATTTTCTTTTTTTTTTCCTTTCCAGGCTTTCTTTTTTTTTTTTCCCCCCTTTTGGGGTTTTTTGGGTTGCTGTGTTTTGTGTTGTGCTGGGGGGGTGGTGAGGAAAGTGCATCATGCAAACTTTACGGCTGGTTATGGAAGCTTGTGCTGCTCAGCATGATCAGTTGCTGTCGCAGTTTACCGCGGCCTAGAATCTATACATACATGTCGTTATAATTGCGAAGTTGTTTTCTGGGATCTGCTGCCATCCTCTTTCCCACACCCCCCCCCCTCGGGCCCCAAGCCCCACGCCCCCCCCCCCCAAAAAAAAAAAAAAAAATAAACTTGCTCTTTCTCTGTCAATGCCTGCACAGACGCTAGCTAGCCACACCTCCCCGGTTCCCTTCTGATCAATTCGTGATTTCTGGGCATTCAGGTTGGGTTGGATTTCTTGGGGGAAGAATGGGGGGTTTGTCCGGCGGCTCTCCCCTTTTGCTCCTGATCCCCTGCCATAAACACTCATTTGTTGTCTTTTTTTTTTTTTTATAACACAAATTTCAATTATTACACTACTTGCTGCTAAGATTGCACGAAACCGAGGATATTGGCCAGTGTTTACTTTTTTAGCATCACTTTTTGTTTCGCCAAGCCTGCATCTCCTTTTTCCCTTCCTTACCGGTTTCCAAAGACGTACGTTTATGTATCTAGTCCTCCTTTTCTCTCTCTCTCTCTCTCTTTATTTATGCATATGTCTGTGTGCTGCGTGTTTTTCAAGGGAAGAAGAAGATTTTTTTTTTTTTTTTTAAAAAAAAGAAGAAGAAGAAATCATGATCAGTACGACGTAGTCGGAGTAAAGGAGGGAACAGAGGAGTTAGCTGAGGAGGGACGAATTGGAGAAGCAAGTATACTTTGAAAAGTGGGTAGCAATGTGCTGATTCAGGAAAGAAAGGGGGGAGATCAGAGATGGCCAAAGAGAAGATGGACGGAAAGGAGAAAAAGAATCATCAATTCACGGGTCATCATCTGTTACTGTTGCATTGAAATACCAACGTGGTCCGTCCATACTCAAAAATTCACCATCTCACTTCACTGTAATTTGCACTTGCTCTTTCTGCAATAATTTGCACTTGCCAGTGTTGCCGTCTTCTCTCGAGTAGAATGCACGCTTCTGTGTTCCATCTGGGGTGATCGCCACGACCAACTTGTACTTTTAATTTTAAAAGCGCGCTCCACGTATTGCCCTTCTTTTCTTACTCGTTTTTTTTTTAAATAGCTTTTCTTTCTTTACTGTGGTCATTAATTGATGAAGCCTACGTCTCCTACGTCCTAGCTCATGCCCTCTATTCTACAGCTAGACCAACAGGCTAAACTACAATTATTTTTAGTATAAAGCCTACATTTATAGCCTACATATACGGGGAGGGACTAGGGAGGTGATTTCTTTACACGTCTAGGGAGGGGACTACTTCCTCTCTGGTTTCCAATTCCAATATTAGCATCAGTATTGTGGCATACTCCACTTATCGTCTCTGGTTTCTATTTTTATTTTTTGTGCAGGGGAGCCAGGCACACCAAAAGGACGAAGAGTGGTTGATAATGGACCAAGATTTCAAGATAGCCACGTACCCCCACAAACAAACCCAAAACAAAACAAAAAACAGAGTGATCCATCCATATAATCAATGAAGACTCACAAGAGAGTTTTTACATCATAATAATAATAATAATCAATTGTGAGACTGATCCATCCATATAATGAACAATGCAGGTAGCATCCTCAGTCTTTGTACATATTGCTTGTTCGACTTTTTTTTTTGGTGCATTCTGATCATGGTAGGTAACAAATTAAGAAACGGTTACATTGCATATCCAAATTTGCATTCAAATCCTTCTCATGATCTGTTATACAGATATCATTTAACAATTAAAAATAACAACCATGTTAAAACAAAATTACCAACATCTGCTAAGTTTGGCAGTAGGAATGCAATAAACTGGACCGAATAAATTGCAAAAAGAATGAATAGAGTCTAGTTGTTGGAATTGAAATTAATTAAAATGATGTTTAAAAGGATCATGTAAGACACAACTTAACGGTGAAATGTCAGCTGCCCAAAATTTGTATTCAAAAGTAAATAAAACGTTATTTAAATTAGAGGCAAATGGCCGAAGTAACTGCAAAACAAAATCCATGGACAAAAGAAATAGCAAATAAGCAATGCAAGGAAAGACAAACCAGAGGAAGAAACTTTCATTCAATTTTTTGCACTCATGAACCATATCATATGCACAACAAGTTTTGGGTAAATTATCTTTTACCCTCCTATCATTTAATTACCTATACATAACCCTTTCATGCTATGTTTTCAGACTCGGACCGGGTATCGACTCGGCCAAACTCAGGGGTCAGGGGTCAATGGATTTGATCCGGGTTGAACCGGATGATGTCATAAATAAAAATTATTCAAAAATTAAAATATTGTATATAAAATATCTAAAAGTATGTTAATATTAATAAAGGTATATTCATATATATTTGATGTTTCAAATATATTTAACAAGAAAATACAAAGAAACTAGAATAATCAAGTAGCAATTTAAATTATTTAATGAACATTAACAACTTTAGAATTAAAATTATGGATTTGATTGAAAAATAACATCAAATTTTAGGACAACATTTATAAAGTATGAAATATGTGAGATTTTTCATGTTTTTTCCCAGTTTTTCCGGTTTTTGACCGGGTTTTTAGTCTTCCGGTTTTGAAGAACAACTCGGACCGAACACTTGGCCGGTTCTCGGTTCGACCGGCCAGTCCGATCCGAGTTTAAAAACACAGCTTTCATGGTATGGGTTAAATTGTCACCATTAGTTTTGCCATTACAACTAACTGTTAATATCAAAAAGCCAAAGTCAAACTAGTAAATTGACAAATTTATCCTTTCACTGATTTGTTTTTCTTTTTTCCTTTTTTTTTGTTCCCTTTGGAAAGAGATTAGAGATGATTTTAGAAAACTATACTTTGGCCTAGTAAATTGTAACAAATATTAACTATCCATAAATACAACAAAGAATAGATAAATAAGATATACAAGATACTGTTAAAGATTTGCAGTCACTAAAGATTTGGTATAAATTAAAACCTATAATAATATTTGCAATCATTAGAGAAGAGGTATTGATCTAGTGACTAAAATTAAAATTTCAGGATTTAGAGGTCTTGTGTTCAAATCCCCCTACTCCCTCCCCACTTCTTAAATCCTACTCTTCCCCCCATTAGAAAAGAATAAATAAAAAAGATATTTCAATCATTAAAGATTTGGTATTTTCTATTTCTCACTTGTCCACTTGTTATTTTTTTTTATTTTTTGTATTTGGAGAAAAAAATAATGAAAGGGTGAATTTGTCAATCTACTAATTTGACTTTGACTTTTAATACTGACAGTCAATTTTAACAAAAAGATCTAGCGATGAAACTTTAGTTGAAACTATGAAAAGATTATGTATAGATTTTTAAACTATAGAGAATCATATGGTAAAGTATCAAACCACACAATGGTTAAAGGTAATTTACCCTATATTCTATCATAGATTGCATAAAGCTGACTAACCTATCAAATATATGCTCCAATCCGGTAATTGCGCAGGTTCAGCAGTTAAGTCTTTGATATTAAACTAGGGCTAGCAAAACAAAAAGGAAAAATATAAGCCAAGCTAGCAATTACATTGTCAATCATACGTAGTCGTTATATTGTCCCGCTTCTGATAATGTTCAAGAATTTGAAAAGATAGAAAAAATTCTGTTAGTCAACAAAATTAAATGATCGGCATGTATTCTTTTCATTATAATATGACATAAACCCTCGAGACAAATTTTCCAAATTAATTTTTAAAAATTACAACTAAGCCAAACAAAATATTCAAGGGCATAGCTTAGATTATACATTTGCTTTCTTATACCAGTGAGATTAATGAATGAATTTTAAAAGAATTACTTTTATATTCATATATATATACTATCAGCATTGAATACATGACAACCAATCCAAACTTGTATTTAAAATCCAAATTTAGCTTATGAATCATTAATTTAATCATGATAGTGTATACACTGATAATACACATAAAATTTACTTATTTTAAAAACAAACAAATTTATTACTCAGATCAAAATTATATGCATCAAAGTGTTTGAATTATGCATGTGAGATCAATATCACAAATTATTTTAGCTGAACGCCTCATTCCATCCGTAGAGCAATTAGCAACTAATGATCATAAGTTTTTTTTTATCTTCTTTAAAATGCAATTACAATTTTCTTGGTAATGCATTGATTGGTAATCCAAAATAGGAAAAAAAAATGATAATAATCAGGGATTATTAACAAAATAGAAACTTAATTAATTCTTTCCAGTAAATATATACTTTTTAATTTCTTATATTATAATATGATGACTAAATATTTTACGCAAGTAATTAACAATATAACTTAAGGATGAAAAGAAGGAAGAAAGGACAGAGGAAAATTAAATGAAATATTTTACTGAATATGCTATCTCTCTCAATTGCTCTACACTGTTCCTTCTTATCCTCCTCCTCATTTTCCCGAAATTATGCACAACCCCATGCTTCCTCTCCTAGTTCTTTGTTTTCGTCCGTTGATGAATTTTTGTATATATAGTCATGAGATTGAAATGAAGGTAGTATTTTGGATGGGTTTTTGTTGGATATTTTTGCTTAAAAAAATTTGACAACATTGAACGTATTGTTTTATATGAAATGTACTACATTGATGTGTGCTATTTACCAAACCTATGTACATAAGTTACCACTAATTGGTATGTATCTAAATATTTTCTTATATTGTAGAATTTTTTTTTTTAAAAAAATGGTGGCATGCTATTTTAGTTATTTAACTACAACATATTAAGGAAAAAGTATGCTTTAAAAACAAATCTTTGAAAAGGTAGAGGAAAAAATAGTGTATACACAATATGTGCATATGTTTTTTAAAAAAAATTAAAATTGCATCACAATTTGGTAAAATAATCATTCCCTCGTCCAGAATTCACATAATATTTAGGTTTTAGGGGAAAAAAAGTTAAGGAAAAATAGACTTAAAGCGTCTCGTAGAAAAATTGTTAAATATAAAGCCTTTATTTAGAAAAAAAAAAAAAAAAAAAGTGTTCTACCCATTGATAACGATGTCAAGGTTTTATACGGTATATTGACAACAGTTTGCGACCACAAATCGTCAGCTAAGGTTGATGCCTACACTGCTGGCTCAAGAACAAGAAGATGTCTTTGTTTTGAGGTGCAAAGTGTAGGCACAATACTGACGAATAAAAATGAAGGGATGTGGTAGTACTTCGGGCGGCATCAGATCAGAGTAAGTAGCGAAACACTACTGAAATGCGGAACCAGGTTAGAGCGCTAAGAGTACGTGGAAAAGCTCTGGTTCCGTTAGCTTTGTCCCCAGCGACAAATGCAGACAACTTACTATACTATATGGTACTATAGAAGAAGAGGAGAGTGTACAAGTACAACGCAGCGGGAATCAGAGCGGGCAGTGGCTGACTTTTTTGCAGAGACCTGGGTCTGGGTCTGGTTTGCTGCTGACTGCTTTGCTAGTTTGCTTTGCCAAAAGATGACCTACTACGTATACACAAGCTTTAGCCTTTAGCTAGCTACTGGCCTAAATAACTTTCCACGTCTTTCAAGATTCAGTACTGAATTAAATGTACAAGCATTTCATACATACATATATCACGCCTCCTCCTCATGTATATAGGCTAGGGTCCCCTACTACGTACCGGTACTGCCCCCAATTAAACTCCTTCAAAAAAGGAAAGAAGAAAAAAAAGCCCTCGTCTAATCTAAGGTCTACCACCGGACTATAGGATGATACACATGCAGAGAGTGGTGACTGGCGAGTAAGATGAGCAGTGGTACATCGAAATTAGCTAGAAAGTGGAAATGATGATGGGATATGGTTTGCACTTTCACTCAGCGGCCAGTTGAGCAACTAAGCATGGCATGCAATTATAGGCACGAGGAAACCCCTCCAGGCCTTCCGCACCCAGCTTTTAATTAAGCCTTTTCCGTACGTACTATTTTTGCTCCTATTAATTCAATTGTGGTGTGGTAGTAGTAACTAGTACAGAATATATACAACCTCTTTTCGACCCCAGCAGCATCTTCCGTCAACGATAACTGCAATGATATGTCACCTAGCTAATTCGCAGAGCAAGAAATACACATGTACTTGCATATGTGTAGTCATCTTTTATTTGGATAAAATGAAAGAAATCGAACAAGTTAACTATACCATAGTACTTATATATCCTCTCGATCTGGGCGGGTAATAGTAGAGTACTAGTAATAACTTAACAAGAATACGGTCGTATATATGAACTAATAAGGCTGCAGTGACTGTCGATCGATCTCACTGACCACCCTGGTGGTGGTGCAAGTTAATCCGAGCAAACGTCCCTCCTATTCAAAATCTAATAATAGGTGTGGAATGGAATCAACAGATGATGATTACAATCGGTTGTCATTTCATGGAGTGTCTTCGTTCAGCGTTTATGATACGTACAACACTACCTACAACACTGCGCGCCTTTCTTCTTCTTCTTCTTCTTCTTCTTTTTTGGGATCATATATATATGTATGTATGTATCCCCGGCCCCGCATGGCATCAGTCTGTGAAGAACATCAGCTAGCAGCACTGATATCGGGGTTCTGTTTCAGCATGTAAATGACATCGATCAGTGATCAACGCCAAAGGGCTACGTTTGCGATCAAATTAAAGGTCCTGCATCCACACAGCCTGCAGTTATCAATCAAGTTAATTAATTTGGCTTGTTAAACAAAATGACGATATATCTGGAGATACCCTCCTTGGCTGCCTACCTAATTAGAATTAGAGAAAGAATAATATCTCCAAGCCATTCGATTTAGTGCTCAGCAAGGAACCAGTGATTCACATCATCGATCTTCCCAAAAGTAACACAAATAAGCTGATGCTTAAACCTTCCAACAGCAACAACAATATTTATTTCGAAATAAAGTTCAAGTTATATAATAGCAAGGACTAAATTTGATAAGCTTTCACGCAAACGTGTAATATTCATCTTTACAGACAAAATTAAACCCCTAATATATACCTTTACTAACACAACAACACTGCCTGTCATCTATATAAACAAGAGTATTAACTGCCTCAGTTTAGACCACAGCAATAAACAAAAAGGCATGCATCCATTATTTATCTTTCTTTTCTTTTTTTTCCCTTTGCAATTTGAATGACTCTTTAAGCTTTAAACATATTATTTTGCATCAGTTTGACAATAGACTAATGGCGGAATATTTGGTTGCCAAACTAATATAATAATTAGCTAAAAAATGATGTCAAGGGTGAATGTGCAAAATCAGTTTTCCAAAATTAAACAACTTTAAAAAAAAAAAAATTTCCAAATTAAGTGTTCGTTCATGTTTCTTCGCAACAATTGTTATGAAGAATATATCTTAGACATGACTGTAGCTTGAGCATTGTTCTCCCTGATTCCACCCAACTCCCAAGAAATGGAAACTATTTCCTTAAAACTTCGAAAACAGAAGATAGCATTTCAATTATAGGATTGAAGACTTGCGCATCCAACCTAATAGAATCTGGAAAAAGAATCAACCAAAGCAGCAAAAACTCTTCCATTTTACCTATAAGTAGAAGCTAAAGATGATGGAGCTGATTTGATGAAAAGCACGACGCTCAGCTAACTATTGCATTTTTAAGAAACTAATTGAATATTTTTAAATAAATAAAAAAAAAACCTTTTAGCTAGCTAGGGTTGCTTTTATAACAACAGTGCTTTCTATGTTGCACTAACATATTTTTTCAGAACAATTATGATGATCCGAGCATGGTTTCACAGCTTGTTTTTCTCTAACTGTCTTTACAAAATAGTTGTTAATGTATGGGAAATGCTCAAGTTATCTTATTAGAGTAGTCTTGTATCATTCAGTAGTAAATAGAACACTGAACACATAATTGACCATGAGAAGCCAAAAAAAAAAAAAAAAAAAGGCTTCAAACAAATTATCATTGCTTAAAGAAAGATAAACTCTTGATTCTTTTGCTCCTCATCTCTAATCAAATAAATATGTGGACATGAATCCATCTACGGCCATGTAGCTAGGATCATATACCGAACCAATTCAACAAGGACAAGGAGGAAAGTAAAACTTCATTATTACTAAACTACAGTCAGAGAGATCTTTGCTGTGAATGCTTGTGCAGGTTGATTCTGTTAAGAAGAATTCATTTTCCTGGCAAGGGGGGTGTGGGCGACTAAGAAAACTGAAAGCTCATATACTACAATGCTTAGTGACATCGCACAAATGTAAGTTTAGAAGATTGGGAAACTCAAAACAACATGAAATATATATGCACTTACTGTCTGACTACATATTCTTCTGAATTTTACTAAATGGACTAAAGCGGCAACTTTGAAGTGGAAATAAAGACTCAAAGATGTGTGAGCTTTTAGCCCAGCAGCTCGTATCCTATGGTTAACTTTGTATGACGTTAAACTCTCATAAGTAACAAGGTCCTGTTTCTTCAGCAAATTAAGTTAATTTATTGACCTCCATTGCTTCTTGCAAAACCAAAAGAATGAAAGCACAAGAGTTACAGAAGAAAAGTTCAGGAGCTAAAAGGGTGTCTGGACGACATGAATGACTTCAATGAGAATAGAGGTGAAGGAACATAAGACTTTAGATTTTTGACACCATGGTTATGTAACATACAGTCTCACAGCAAGGCATTATGATATCTGGACCATTATATATAGTAATGAGATGGCTCGTTTTAGTTAGAAGAAATATTTAACAATCACGAAAGAGGTGTCCAACGGGTAAAGGCAAAAATCCAGCATATTGCAGAGCCAATATATATATATATATATATATAGAGTAGGGTACACGAGAAATTAGGGTACACGACAGAACTAGGCTTAGTAGAAAAAGAAAAAGAGGAATAAAATGTTGGAAGTTGGTAAAGATATTTTAAAAGCCATGAATGGTGAAATTTAATAGACATTGTTCTGATTTCTGAGGTGACACCCCGAACACAGTTATCAAAACGAGCAACGACCTCCCCGGGGTTGACGTGAAAACCTTTTTTTCTACGGTTGGAATTTCTCAAAACGTTATCTGAACCGAAAATAATTAAAGACACGTTGCGGATGGATGAAAAGGATCGATTTGCAGCATTGATCAGTGCCATGAGAGTTAGAAAAGATGAGGATGAGGCAGGAGACAGAAGGAAACAATCGACCTAAAATTTTGGGGAAAAACCTGAATTTGAAGCAAAGCTACAATTCTAGAAATGGAGTAGCTAGCCAGCCTAGCAGGACTGAATGATGATGGACGTGTAAAAATTGAGATAGATAGATGGCGTACCTTTTCAAAGCTCTGGCAAATGATCTGCGCAGAAGGCGTGCCCAACGAAGCAGCGACAAGAATAACAAACCTACCAGAGCTAATTATTCAAATGAAACAAAACAAAACAAAACAAAAATTGCAAAAAGAAGCTTCAATTCCATCACATTGTACCCGGAGAACGCCTGGAGCAAGGATGTTAGCTTGACAAGAACAGCACTAAAGAGAAAGGTAATAATGTAGTAAAAGATTAACATAATAGTAAGTTGTCCCGAGGGAAAGAAACAGGCTGAAGAAGTGACATGAAAGATTTTCTGGAAGCAGTACTCCACGGGAAAAAAGCCTATATATAGCGACGATACACGTTGGGCAATCAAAGCCCTACAAAAGGAGGTGGCAGCGCATTCAAGGCAAAGATAAGAAATAAAAATTATGGTTAGTAGACAAAAGGCATGAAGGATCTGTAATGCAACCTATCCGTGTTGAATGAAATCTAATTTAAGTTGAAATTAACGGGAGTACTAGCAGCAGTAGTCCGTATGTAAGTATTGCAGATAACAATAAATTGAAAAAACTACTACTGTTTTAACAATACTAGTATTGAATTTTTTTCTTTTGTTTTCCACCTTTCAGAGGGCTTCTCATGATGATCACATCAGCCATAATTCCTTTTTCTTTTCTTCTTTGAGGACGTCTCCGCACAGCCAGCATGAATTTGGAGCAAATGAAAGAGCTCATCCTTCCTTCCCTCCTTTCTTGATCATATATAGCACTAGCATTTGTGGCTTTGGACGCAAGGCCGCATTCACGCAAGTCGTATATGTCCCAGCTTAGAAGATTTTTAGTCACTCCCGAGTCCCCGGTGCCACTCCATCTAACTATATATCCAAATCCAAGGACATAGATGCCTTGCCCTTGCTGTCGCTGCTACTGCTTTTGTTGTTGGAGGGCATTGTGTGGAGCGGTGGACGGCTGGCATAATTGTATGGCCTCAACTGCAGAGGACAAGTTGAAGAAGAAGAAGAAGAAGAAGAGGAAGAAGAAGAAGCAGGCGGAGGTGGAGGTGGAGATGAACACAAGTGGGGAAATTGTGATGGCATTGTAGGATGAGCGACTGCGGTGGAAGGTAATACAAGTATGTCACAATTATCATCCTCCTGATCCTCCGACGACGACTCCGAGATGGGGCAATCCATGTTAACTCCAAACAGCCGCAGCCGCTTTGCTGCGGCCTTCCCTTGGACCAGTGGCACCGACTCAAACACCATTGGCTCCTCCCCCTCCCCACCCTCCTCTACCATCACCTCCTCCGGGTTCAGCCCAACGCTGCCTCCTCCTCCTTTCTGCACCATTTGCACAGTTCCGATTCCCAAATTGACGGGATGTGGCCTTGCAGCCGCAGCGGATCTGAGATAAATGAATGGGCCGGAACAAGGGTTTCCCGTCATTACATTGCCGTAGGCGTAGTTGTTGCTTAGATGATGAGGATGAGATGGATTTGGATTGTTGTTAATACCGACACCAGTAGCAGCATTATTTAGTTGTAGCAACTGGTAATGGTCCCTGGGGTTTTGCTGCTGCTGATGATGCTGCAAGTAGAAAGGATGGTTCCAAGGATGGCGGAAAGAATATTGATGATGTGGAAGCAGCTGCGAAAAACTAGCAGTGGACATGGAAGGAGGCAACTGAGGGTGATCGGGAGCGTCGGGTCGGCGCCTCCAATCAATGAACAATCGATCCTTGCCCAGCTCACCCACTCCGCGCTGAAAGGAGACGATGTCCCCGGCATCGAGCTTCTTTTCCTTGACGAAGCGGCTCCAGCCTTTGGTCATCACGTAACTCTGGCTGCTGTTCCAGTAGGAGTACCTGAATCGCCACGGCTTCCCATTTCTGTCTTCGAAATTCAAGAGGAGTCCCTTCTCGTTGGTGGAGGAGTCGAGAGGGAAATACTTCTCCGCGTGCTGCTTGGGGATGACTAATCTGTTGAGCTTGCCGACGTCGCTCGGTGTCACCACTTTATCAAACATGTGCTCTCTCTCTATTATCAACGACGCACTGGTAGTGTTCCCTCCTCCCACGCGAGGCTCATCGGCATCCTCAACGATGTTGCTGCAGCTGCTGCCGTTTGTAGTAGGCGATGAAGAAGAATCCATCGCCATGAGATCAAGCTGGGAAGCTCCACCACAGCTGTAGCCTCGGAAAGAGACTCTCCTATCATCCCACGGTCCCCGTGGTTGGTGGTGGTTGTAGGATGGAGGGACAAGGAGGTCTCTCTGCTGCAGGTACTGATGATGATGATGTTGAGGAGTAGCAGCAGCAGCAGAAGACGGCTGAGAAAAAGGGCGGGTTGCTCTTGATGAATCTTCCTCGTAATATCCTCCTCCTCCTCCTGGTTGTCTAGGGGCCATGAAATTCATGATATTCAGTAATTATATATGGCGCCTGCAGATATTGCAGCCCCCCAAATCCTGCTGGCTTCTCTAATTATATCCGGGATGGATCAATCTATTCTTCATACGATCCCACAGAGAAAAGGTACCAATTAAAAAGCAAGATGAGAAACAAGGAGGATATGTTACTAGCAAAAACGTAAACCACCAAAGTATCTTCTTTTTTTTTTGGGGAGAAAAAAAAGAGGGGGGGGGGGATGATATTTGGTTTGGGTTAAAAATGAACACCGCAAGGCCTCAAAAGCTGCAAGACTGGACTAGAACTTCGAAATCTGGAAACTTTTCTTTTTCTTTTTTGGGTGCTGGGGTATACAAATACAAATTAAACCAGTGTATTTGGCTTTTGTTTCGTACTAATTTAGTTGGCGTGCTTTGGTCTCTCTCTCTCTCTTTTTTTTTTGTTTTGGAGGGGGGGGTGGGGGGGTGTTGGTTTACAATCACTCAGTCTATCAATTCTAGTGTTGAGAGGAAGGGATAAATTAGCTGAGAAATTCCTCAGTAGGAGGACCAATAAGTCGTCTCTTGACACAAAGCCAAAGCAGCTTTCAGTTTCACTAAAACGAGGGTCGGTTGCATTCTTATTTGACCAATGGACACCAAATTAAGACTCCTCCCACCAAATTAAAACCAAATGATAGTACTGTTACTCTTTAGTACACCTCCTAGTGGCGGTGGAGTGCAAAAAAAATGAAGAGCTTCTTCTTCTTCGGCACGATCGACTTACTTCTTCAGCTTCTTCTTCTTCAGTTCTTCTTCTTGTCGACTACTACTGCATCATTAGAGCACCTAGTTTGGAGAGGAAGAGCAGCCACACCATGAACTACGAGAAGAGCAATCCACGAAATGGATCAAAATATCACTCCTGTCGTCGCTAGTAATGCATCCCATCCCGTTCGCTGCCGCAAATGGGATATGTTCCTATCCTTTTCCCTTGGTCGCGAAGAGAGTGCCCTTTTACTGTGCGTGTTTGTGCGTGTGAGAGAGAGAGCAAATGAATCCCCAGTCCCACCCTGGAAGCTTCTTAAGTTAGGCGATTTTCCCTTTGTAATTTATTCTCTCATTCATTAAGAGTTTCACAGAGAAAGCTAGAGAGAAAGAGAGAGAGAGAGAAAGATGGCAGAGCAGAGAAGAAAGACTTTATACGCGGGGATAGAATGGGATGGGTAGGGGTGATGCTGGGCAATGGGCCCCCCACAGATCAAATAATAACAATCGACTATCTATCTGGTTGGCTTCGGCTCATGTGAGCTCGTCCTTGTCATCGGCCTGCCCGCCTGGCTGGTGTCTCAATCAATATTCGACTTTTATTTTTCAGTAAGGACTCTTCTTCTATTTCTCAAGTCTAGAGTCTAGACGTAGGGGTTCTCATTTTTTGCTAGTATTATTAGTATTGTAATTAACGGAATTCAGAGTTATAAGTGTTATAATAATAATAATTTTATTACTATTATTAGGTGGTCCAAAAAGAAAAAAAAAATGATCAGAACGCATCGGGCGGGGGTGGCTAAAACCAAGGAGTATCACTAATGTGATTCTAGCTAGCGTGGAGCTATATGACTTAGGTAAAAACCTCCCCCTTTGATTCGAGAGAGGGCAGCGTAGTTTCATATGTATTTTTTTTAAATTGGGAATGGTGTAATTATAGTTTACTTTATAATTGTGGAGGAAGATTATTTTATATAAGTTTTTTTTTATTTTTTATTGAAAAGATTTTTTTTTTTTTTTGTACAGCCAACTCTATTTGTCAGAACAGTTTCCGTTGAATCTCAATATCTATTTTTTTAAAAAATGTAATAGCTCTTGGAGTATTATAATGTATGGTAGATAAGGGGTAAAAACAAAAAAAAGAAAAGAAAAAGAATGGCCGTCAGCACATTTCTTCAAATAATAATAGGTTATTCAAATATTCCGAATTATTTATTATCTTGTAATTTAATTATCTGAAAGTACCAAAATAGGACCTCAAAGCTAAGGAATTTTTGCTGTCACCAAGACCTTTGTTCCCATAGCTAGTATGCACTAGTTTCAGCTTTTGTAGAAGTGATTAATTTGAATACTACTTAATACGCCATCCCACATGCCAATAATATACCTAAGCCAGTAGCCAGTAGCCAGTAGCCAGTAGCCACTGCACAAGGAAGATGTTGGATTCAATAAAACTACACGCGGTCGGTTACTCATATAAATTGACTTTGCTGTCGCAGTTAGTCAGTCGTACACTCACTCTCTTAAGTTTAATTTACAGGGAGGTATTAATTAGATTAGATTAGATTATGTAATAGTAGTATTAATTAGAGTACCCGAACATGAACATATTAAATGGTCTTCTTTCCATGATTTTCCCATCTGCACATGCTACTTGTGCTCCGACCCCGGCGCAATTTTTTTTTTTTTTTTTAAATATTTTTAACTCAAGAAGACTATTAATCTATTGGCTCCATTCCACCGGTCTGCTTTTAAGTTTTAACCAGAGAGAGAGCGAGAGATTTTTTTTTTTTTAAGTTGATGATTAAAATCATTAATTGACTTTGAAGAATACGAAAAGGATGCACAATATAATACTCCTCAAACTAGTGGCCATATCATAAGAAGCTATATATATATATTTATAGAACTCGTAAAAATTACTTACTCAAAATATGGAGACTTAGCTCATTTCATAATTACGCATTAACTTGAACGTAACAGCTATATTCAGATTCATCACTATCCGAAATGGATACATACATATTTCGGTTAGGAGGAAAGAAAAGAAATCTCGTTTTCGTACTCGCCAAGGAGTGGCCATCTCCTGGACATTTTTTGAAATAATTGTGAAAAAGTAAAGAGAAAATTATTATATATTCTGGTGGATATTTTTCAGTACTGCCCACTTCTAGCTAGAGTGGTTGAATTGAGGTGGATGGTCTATGAAATGGTAGTGATTCAGGACCACCTAGGCTGCTTAGAGCCAAAGGAGCCATGCCGGTGAGGGATGGACCATTTGGGATTGAAAATGGCTTCATGCACTATGCATTAGAGGTGGCAAAGTTCGTGTTTGACACCTCTTTGGATGCTGTTGGAAATTATGCTCCGAACGCCTTTTGCAGTCAATCTCTTTCCCACCTCATTTACTCGGCTTTAAACGGGTTAATTATAGGCACTAAAACCCCTTCCAGTTTTTGTGTTTTTTTAGTATAATTTCCAAAACCCAATCTTGCCACTTTAATTCCTCGTGCAGGTCAACTAAGCATTTTCAAAACCCAATCTTGCCCTGTTGGAATTTCTTTCCGACTGAAATATCTTTTTCCACTCAAGCAATTATTGTGCATCATCCCGTTTTCAATTCTATTTCTCATCAAATGCTCCAGATCTCATCTCTCTCCTCCTAATTTCAGCAATTATTGCGATTTTTGCTCTTTGTTTTTTCAATGAATAAAAAAATACACAAATCAACTGAAGCTAGATGTAACCAACTCCCTCTAGAGGATTTGGCCACCACATTAATTGTGGGATCGAAGATCAAGGGTTCAAACCTTACCTCCCATCAATATGCCTCTATATGAGACTTGTTCTAAATCCATACGGGTGCATAGTGCACCCGTTTGGTTAATGGTAGTTCAATCCTTATTAGGATTTCTCGACTCAGTTGGACCACCCCTTAGAGTAGATTAGGATAGATGTGTAGTTACGTAAAAAAAAATTAATCATGTGAGAGAGTGGCTATGACCTGAATTAATCATTTTTATTGAACCAAAATCCAATTGTATGTAGTTTTTTATTTTTATTTTTTACTTTTGTTTCGGGTCATGTGAGAGAGTGCACACATTTTTCCACCATTTTCTCTTCTTTTTTGACAAAATTCATACATCCATTCCTTGTTTATTTTTGTCTAATTAAGGATAATAGTTTGTTTGGATACACAAAATCATTTGAAAAAATTTCTAGAACAACGGGTTTGTTTGGATAGAGTATTATTTGGAATAATTACCGTAGCACTTTTTGTGATTTGATATATGTGAAATAAAAATATTGTTGGAAATATAAAAAGGTGAGTTGGAAAATGTGTTTATAATGCAAACGAAATATTATTTGAAATAATTTGCTATCCAAATATTGTGACACTTTTTTTTATATGAAATGTATAGACGCACGCATGTACACACGTATATATATATATATATATCATTACTATTAGAACCAACAGCCACTAGTGCTCATGGCCAGGGACTTGATGCCTGCCTAGCAAACCAGGGTTCAAACTTGACTATTGGGTTTCGGGGTAGGGAGGGATTAGGGGAGAGGGGGGGGGGGACAGAATGTTGAAAGGAAAAAAAACTACCACCATTAGTCATTAGTTTAGGGACTAAGGTTATACAAAATAACATTAGGGACTATATCCCAAAAAACACTAATGGAAGAAACTAAACTGCAAAATACATCAGACTGACCAACAACATCGTAATTATTGTGAACGGATAGTTTCGAATGTTAGTCCAGGAACCAGAATGACACAAAAATAATGCTACTGTATCACTGAACACACTATATATTATTGTTTATTGCCTAGGGTTTAATGCATTTAATCCCATGTATAATTCCAGCCATTTGCGTACATCAAGTCGTGCCCATAATTGCGTGAGAGAAGCCTCCAAAGTTATCTTTGCATTCAATTACCAGCCCACACCCAACTTTCTAGTATTTCACTTTAATCGAACGTGTCATAGGTTGCATGTTAATTTGACCGATGCGTAAGCGAAGTAGGCCATAGGTAGAACTGTTAATCGAACCGGATCGCTAGTAAGTCAAGCTCGAGTCGGCTCATTAAGGGCTCGACTCGGTTTGTTTTTCTTAGTAAACAAGTTGAATTCAAGTTATATATGTACTCGTTTATGAATTGAGCCAAACCGAGCTTGGCTCCCAAACTATTAGACAGGCTCGAAATATAAGGGCATTAGTGTCATTTCATTACATGTCTGATAATTATATCTTAAATTCCAATTCCCAAACGAGGATTCCTGTGACTGCCCTAATTTTTCTTTCCTCTTCCCTTTTCCACAGCCCACGACCGCACCTTCCTTCATACCAAATCACCAATCCATCCATCACCCTACCGCCATCACTCGAGTTCATTAAGCTTGGCTCGATTTTCAAATTCAAGTTCGAGTTCGAAATCGAGTTTGACGAGTTGATATCAAACGGCTTTTGAATCTCAAACTACTAATCGAGCGAGGTCAAGTTAGCTCAATAAATGTTCCAGTCGAGTTCAATTATCAGGTGTTCGAGTTCGACACGACTCGATGAACAGCAATAGTTATAGGCTAACCAAACTTCTTTTGAAGTTCAGTTGAAATTAAATCCAGGAGTTAAATAAGTGCTATTTACAAGTATTTCGACCACGGCATTCATAGGCAAGTCTACGTAATTTTCCATTATGTGCTACATTTAACAATTATCTAATAATCTGTAAAGGGTCGGCCTACGAGCGATCTTTTAGTTTGAGAAGCAATTATATAGTAGATTTTTCGTCATCACATCGGTTCTTCCAAGAAAAACTGTTCGACCAATCCTCGAATTGGCGGGTGATTTGGAAGAAGAAAATACATGGGGCAATGAAATAATGAGTTCTCCCATGGGCAGCCATAAACCGTGTCCTCCAGTGTTGGATTGTTTGTAGGGCAAGAGAGATGCAGAATGTGACATGAATCGCTATATCCACAAGACGAGTGGTCTGCCGCGTAAAAAACAAAATAAAATTTTGTACGTATGAGGTTAAAAATGAAGATAACAAAAAAAAAATTTTTTCCTTTTTTTCTTTTTGGAGAGGGGAGGGGCCCAAAAAGAAAAAGAAAAAAAAAAAAAAAGCGAGGCCACTGCTAAACATTCAATTTAGTAGCATTCCATTCAGAGGACACGTGTCACTAAATTCATTCATCTTTGATAAGTGAGCCTGCTCTGTAGATTCGGCTAACTAACTTCTGACCTAATCATTATCAATCTTGAAAATAATTAAGCATATTGTGGGAGAAGGTGATCAGCTGAATTTAGACCCTGAAGCTCACACCAGCCCGATCACATGGCATTTAACAATGGCTGGCTGTAAAAATATGGATGTTAAGGTAGTAAACTCCAACACTCTTCT